CATTTTCCCTAACACAATCCATTCTACTGTATGTCTTTGTGACTTTGTTTGATGCTGTTCTTTGCAAGATGAGGGAATACCCATAGCTAACATCTTTTGTCTCCTGCTGACTTAATAATCTCTAGTAAAGTATTATCTTGTAAAACTATTCCTCTGAGAGTTTCTTGCACTTGAGTTTGCAGTATTCTTATTCACCCAGGTGTGTTGGGGGAGTCTGAGACTGTTCTTCGAGATTTGGCTCAAAACAGAGAACCCAAAATCATCAGTTGCTCCTTCGGTTGTGGTGCTACACATAAGCAAGTTGTGCAAGACCTCTAAATGCAATTGGTTGTGACAACAGCCATCAAGATCGATTGGTATTGTAATGGTATTTCCTGACCTCTACAACTCTATAAATGTCCTTAATGTCACTGGCCTTGATGACCTTTTATGTGTAGCCCTGGTCCACAGCACTGACATGAGAGGCTGCATAGGCCTGGCTGTCAGTTTTCATTGTTTCTGCTGCTGTTCCTGCTCAAGCAGATAGGAACATGCACAGCTGTGAAGAGGAGACTGTTACAATAGAGCTTTGTATAGCCTGTTTAGGTCCACCCACCACACAGAGGAAGAATATGTGGACTGCTTGAACTGCTGAGAATGCTGAGTGGAACTGAAGATTGTGAGAGAGGCAGTTCCATACAGACTAAGCCTGCTTGTGGACTAGGTGGAGGAACTACATTTTCCGGGCTCACTGGAGCTCTGGGGGGGAGATAAAAGGATAACCTTGTTCCTGGGCTCAGGGAGATGAGAAGAGGACATTAAAGTAGACAATGTGTGCATCTGGTTGCTGGCAAAATGCTTACCACTGCATCTGGAATGGAGAGAAACACCATATAGGACACTCCCTGGTCACAACCCAAGTATTGGAGAAAACACTGTGATCCCTGACTTTGGTATGCTGATAACAGTGAACAGAGGGAGATCAGCTGCACCCACTGGAGTTGGTGAGAGTCCACTGACCAATCACCACTACACCTTGATAAAGAGAAGCTGTGTTGCCCCATGGGTCACAGTGCAGATGCCTTTACTAGTGTTTGGAGAAACGTTATTCTGAGCAATCCAACATCAGATTTGGGGAAGAAGGGGTTTCATATAGACTGCCAAGCTGTCATTGTGGCATAACTCTCTTTAGGTAGGATTTCCCCCTATTATAGGGTTTAGGGGTTACTCTGGCTCCACTTGCTAGTTATCAACAGTCTATTTTCTTTGACATTCTTTTACCTATTGTTGTGCAATTACTGTTGTCTCTATTATTTTGTATATTGGGGGTACTATATTGATACAGTATATACTACTGTATATATATATATATATATATATATATATATATATATATATATAGTAATACCCCCTCCTCCTTCAGCCCTGATGTGTCAGAGTGTGTTGTGCTACTTACAGGGAACAGTGCTTACTTCCTGGGCACAAGAACAGGGTACCCAGAAAACAGCAGGTTGTGGGTAACTTGGTAAGTGCTACATATGGATGATCAATGTTTCAAAACTTTTGGTAACACATTTTCAACTTTCTCAACAGAATATCAAGTCACAAGAAAAGCATAAGCCTCAAGATTTCACTCATAGCCTATATGAAAGGGGCATAGTTATACGGCATTAAGGTGAATCTTCTTGGCGACTCTTTACTAATATACAGTGAAAGATATGCCACAAGTGAGAGTTAAACACCTTTGTCTAATTCATATAAGAACTGTCTGATTAACCGGAAAATGAAATCCACTTGCACCCTGAGAGATTGCTGAGATTGTCATTAGGCGCTGGAGAGACTCTTGGTCATTGATAAAGTAGATGCAGATGCATGCATTAATGAATGATTTAATGAATAAGCACTGTCTTTAGCATGAAACGCTTTACCTGCCAGTCCCCCACTGTATTTCCACTGTTTGTATTGCTTTTATCTTGGTTCAATAAAGTGGATTGTTTGGAGTGCAGCTGATTGGACTTCCTTTGTTCTCATCTATGCAGCGCACCAGCTGGGTTAGCACCTACAGGAGGAGTTGTGCTTGGAGATTGGGCATCTCTCTACCCTGAACAGCAGCAAACATATACAGTATGAGTGAATAACATTAGGGGACTTCAGAGCCCACTCTGTAAACAAAATCAGAGAGTTGGAGAATCCATTTTTCAATACATATTGGAACAGCTAGACATGACAACATGGATATGCCACAGTGAAAGGGGCAGATAGGATGGTCGGGCTGGAGGGATGTAGATGGACTGCTGTATGACAAGGTCATAGTTGTACAGGCCTAGACACAAGTATGGGCATTTTAGGTGTGAAAACAATAGACCCACCTAAAAAGAGACTTCTCCATAGGATGTGACCATTCAGAAATTGACAGAAGGGATGAACTCATCTCCAGACAGCATTAACCATGTTGAAGAACAGACAAAAATACTCATTAGAGGGAAAAGGAAGGGATGGCAAGGAGGCCATCACACAAAACTTGAAGGGCATGGCTTTACTGAAGGCAGATCGTGTCAGACTAGTCTGATTTAAATTTTTACTATATCACAAATGTTTTGGATTAGGGTTGTGCTGCGGACATAGTCTATCTTGATTTCAGCAAAGCAGTCCCACATCATAATCTCATAAAAAAAGTTATACAAATCGTTGTACAAGATGACTATGCTGACCAATGAGTGCCTTGAGCTGCAAGCAATATCATGAATACTCACTCTGGGACAGTGTATTGCAGTGTACGGCGTACAGACTGTTACATTGGCAGTACGGCGCATTATGACCACTATGTGCAATGGGGTCCAGAGGGATGACCAGGATATTTGGATGTTATTTTTCAGTAAAAGATGAACTTCACCTATATATACATTGAGGGCATGCATAAGGTTCAGGAGGGCAGTATTTTTCAATATAAAACTATGATCAAGAACATGGGGGCACAATCTCAAACTAACAGGAAGAGCTAGTTGATGCTTGAAACAGACTTCTAGCAGAGGTATCGAGTCAGTCAACCATAAGGGGATTTAAACATGTTTGAGACAAACATAGAGCTAAACTATAATGATAAAAAATATAAAATAAAATATATATATGCTGTAAAGTATATACAGTATATATATATATATACAGTTGTGTTCAAAATATTAGCAGTCAGACATCACTAACCTGATCAATCACTGTTTTTGTAGAAATGATATTTCTACATGGCAAATAATTTACTAGCAGGTGTAGTAGAGTAATAGAAATCCAACAGACCCAACATTCATGACATGCATGCTGCTAATTCTGTGTAATTGAATCACTAATTGAAAGGGGCATGTTCAAAATAATAGCAGTGTGGAGTTCTGTTAGTGAGGTCATTCATTCTTTGAAAAGCAGGTGGCAATTATTGCCCTTATTTAAGGAAGGAAGGCAGCAAATGTTGTACATGCTGGTTACAGTGCATTTCTCTCTGAAATCCTGAGGAAAATGGGTTGTTCCAGACATTGTTCAGGAGAACAGCGTACCCTGATTACAAACTTGATTGGAGAGGGGAAAACATATAAAGAAGTGCAGAAAATGATAGGCTGCTCAACTAAAATGATCGCAAATACTTTAAAATGGCAACCAAAACCTGAAAGACGTGCAAGAAAGCGAAAAACTTCCAATTCGAATGGATAGAAGAATAGCCAAAATGGCAAGGACTCAGCCAACAATCAGCTACAGGAAGATCAAAGAAGGTCTGGAGTTACCTGTGAGTACTGTTAAAATTAGAAGACACCTATGTGAAGCCAAGCTATCTGCAAGAAGCCCCGCAAAGTCCAACTGTTGAAAAAAAGACGTGCTGAAGAGGTTACAATTTGCCAAAGAGCACATTGACTGGCCTAAAGAGAAATGGCGCAACATTTTGTGGACTGATGAAATTAAGATTGTTCTTTTTGGGTCTAGTGGCCGGAGACAGTTTGTCAGACGACCCCCAAACACTGAATTCAAGCCACAGTACACTGTGAAGACAGTGAAGCATGGTTGCGCAAGCATCATGATATGGGGATGTTTCTCATACTACGGTGTTGGGCCTATTTATCACATACCAGGGATCATGGATCAGTTTGAATACATCAGAATACTTGAAGAGGTCATGCTGCCTTATGCTGAAGAGGAAATGCCCTTGAAATGGGTTTCCAACAAGACAACGACCCCAAACACACCAGTAAACGTGCAACATCTTGGTTCCTGACCAACAAGATTGACGTTATGGAGTGGCCAGCCCAATCCCCGGATCTTAAACCAATAGAAAACTTGTGGGGTGACATCAAAAATGCAGTTTCTGAGGCAAAACCAATTAATAGAGAAGAACTGTGGAATGTAGTCCAATCATCCTGGGCTGGAATACCTGTTCACAGCTGCCAGAAGTTGGTTGACTCCATGCAACACAGATGTACAGCAGTTCTCAGAAACAGTGCTTATACAACTAAATATTAATTAAGTGATTCAAAGGAAAGCAAAATCTTCAAACATTTTTCAGTTTATATAGTGAATGTTTGAGTTTGTAAAGAAGAATACAAACACTGCTATTTTTTTGAACAGTCTATATTCACTTGTCTTCAATTTTTTTAGAGGAACAACACAAATTTGATATATTTTTCTTCATGTTTTGATTTGGAATAGAATGTGTAGTGTTCCCAATGAATTTGTGTGTGTATGGAAATAAAAGATATTAGAAGGATTTTGAGCTTTATTCATTTTTTTCAACACACTGCTACTATTTTGAACACAACTGTATATATATATATATATATATATATATATATATATATATATATTGCAAAAAACAATGGGATACCCCTCTAAATCATTGGAATTAGGTGTTCCAATAACCTCCACAGGTGTGTAAAAGCAAGCACCTAGGCATGCAGACTGCTTCCGTAAACATTTGTGAAAGAATGGGTCGCTCTCAGGATCTCTGTGAATTCAAGCGTGGTACTATGATAGGTTACCACAGTCAGCTGTTAGTGGTATTATAACAAAGTGGAAGCAACTGGAACAACAGCAACTCAGCCACGAAGTGGTAGGGCCACGTAAAATGACAGAGCGGGGTCAGCGCATGCTGAAGAAGTTGCCAACTGTCTGCAGAGTTAAAAGCTAAAGGCCTCCAAAATTCATGTGGCCTTCAGATTAACACAACAACAGTGCGTAGAGAGCTTCATATAATGGATTTGCATGGCCGAGCAGCTGCATCTAATCTACAGTATACATCACCAGGTGCAATGCAAAGCGTCGGATGCAGTGGTGTAAAGCCACTGGACTCTAGAGCAGTGGAGATGTGTTCTCTGGAGTGACAAATCATGCTTCTCTCTCTAGCAATCCAATGGATGTATCTGAGTTTTCCCAGGAAAACTGTATTTGCCTGACTGCATTGTGCCAAGTGTAAAGTTTGGTGGAGGGGGGATTATGGTGTGGGGTTGTTTTTCAGGGGTTGGGTTTGACCCTTAATTCCAGTGAAGGGAACTCTTAAGGCATCAGCATACCAAGACATTTTGGACAATTTCATGCTCCCAACTTAGTGGGAACAGTTTGGGGATGGCCCCTTCCTGTTCCAACATGACTGCAAACCAGTTCACAAAGCAAGGTGCATAAAGACATGGATGAGCGAGCCTGGGGTGGAGGAACTTGACTGGCCTACACAGAGTCCTGACCTCAACCCAATAAAACCCCTTTAGGATGAATAAGAGCGGAGACTGCAAGCCAGCTCTTTGTGTCTGACATCAGTGCCTGACCTCACAAATGCGCTTCTGGAAGAATGGTCAAACATTCCCATAGACACACTCCTAAGCTTTGTGGACAGCCTTCCCAGAAGAGTTGAAGCTTTTATAACTGCAAAGGATGGGCCAACTCAATATTGAACCCTGCAGACTAAACACTGGAGTGCCATAAAGTTTATGTACATATAAAGGCAGGCGTCCTAATACTTTTTTCAATATAGAAACACATTTTCATATTACACAAAGATAACCTAAGAAAATACAAATTTTTTAAATGACAATTTAATTTATTAAGGAAAAAAAGCTGTCCAAACCTGCCTGGCACTAAGTGAAAAAGTAATTATCCTCCTTGCTAAATCATGAATGAACTGTGATTAACCACATTTTTTGGAAAGCAGAGTTAAAGTTCACTTGCCACACCCAGGCCTGAATACTATCAGACCTGTTGAATAAAGAAATCACCTAAACAGAAGCTGTCCAAAAGTGAAGCATGCTAAAGAATTAAAAAAGAAACACATCAACAATCTAAAGAAATTCAAGAACACATGAGAAACAAAGTAATTGACATGTATCAGTCTGGAAAGGGTTACAAAGCCACCTTAGATTGTACGCCCCTTGAGGGTTAGGGACTGATGTGAATGTACAACATATATGTAAAGTGCTGCGGAAATTGACAGCGCTATATAAGTAACTGTAATAAATAAATAAATAATACATTTCTAAGGCTTTGGGACACTAACGAACCATGATAAGAGCCATTATCCAGAAATTGGGAAAACTTGGAACAATGGTGAACTTTCCCGGGAGTGGCCTACCAAATCCAAGAACACAATGACAACGAAGGAGATCATAAAAGAACCCAGAACAACATCTAAAGAACCGCAGGCCTCACTTGCATCAGTTAAGGTCAGTGTTCATGATTCAACAATAAGAAATAGACTGGGCAAAAATGCAATTGAAATTGAAACTGAATTAAAACAATTCTGCATTGTGATAGATTCAAAAATATTTTTACAGCACTGTACATACACTGCTCAAAAGAATTGAAAGAACACTTTTTAATCAGAGTATAGCATCAAGTCAATTAAACTCCTGGGATATTGACCTGGTCAGTTAAGTAGCAGAGGGGGTTGTTAATCAGTTTCAGCTGCTTTGGTGTTAATGAAATTACCAACAGGTGCACTAGATGGGCAAAAATGAGATGACCTCCACAACAGGAATGGTTTTACAGGTGGAGGCCACTGATATTTTTTTTGTCTACTCATCTTTTCTGAGGCGATACCTGGACCCTACAGAGGTTGCACAGGCAGTCCAACTCCTCCAGGATGGCACATCAATACGTGCCATTGTCAGAAGGTTTGCTGTATCTCCCAGCACAGTCTCAAGAGCATAGAGGAGATTCCAGGAGACAGGCAGTTACTCTAGGAGAGCTGGACAGGGCCATAGAAGGTCCTTAACCCATCAGCAGGACCAGTATCTGTGCAAGGAGGAACAGGATGAGCACTGCCAAAGCCCTATAAAATGACCTCCAGCAGGCCACTGGTGTGAATGACTCTGAACAAACAATCAGAAACAGACTTCATGAAGGTGGCCTGAGGGCCTGACATCCTCTAATGGGCCCTGTGCTCACTGCCCAGCACTATAGAGCTTGATTGGCATGTGTCATTGAACACTGGAATTGGCAGGTCTGCCACTGGCGCCCTGTGCTTTTCACAGGTGAGAGCAGGTTCACCCTGAGCATGAGAGATATGAAAGGGTCTGGAGAAGCCGTGGAGAACACTATGCTGCCTGTAACATCATTCAGTATGACCATTTTTGTGGTGGGTTAGTGATGTCTGGGGAAACATAACCATGAGGGATGCACAGACCTCTACAGGCTAGAAAATGGCACCCTGACTGCCATTAGGTATCGGATGAAATCCTTTGACCTGTTGTCAGACCCTGCGCTGGTGCAGTGGATTCTGGGTTCCTCCTGGTGCACGACAATGCCCAGTCTCGTGGAGAGAGTATGCAGGCAGTTCCTGGAGGATGAAGGAATTGATACCATTGAATGGCCCCCACATTCATCTGACCTAAATTCAATAGAACACCTCTGGGATATCATGTTTCAGTCCATCGGATGCCACCAGGTTGTGCCTCAGACTGTCCAGGAGCTCAGTGATGCCCTGGTCAAGATCTGGAAGGAAATACCCAGGATAGCATCTGTCGTCTCATTAGGAGCATGCCCCGATGTCAGGCATGCATACAAGCATGTGGGGGCCATACAAAGTACTGAGTACCATTTTGAGTTGCTGCAATGAAATTACAGCAAAATGGACTAGCCTGCTGCATCATTTTTTCACTTTGATTTTAAGGGTGTCTTAGAATTCAGTCCTCTGTAGGTTGATAATTTTAACTTCCATCAAACAATGGGGCACCCTTATGTTCCTAACACATTACCCAGTCCATATCAGTATAGATATCCAGCATGATATTTTCCCCATTGAGATCTGATGTGTTTTCTTGTCTTCCTCAGAACAACAGTGAAAAGAAACAGAACAACATACTGCATATACCCTAAAAATCTCTCCCATCATCACCACCCACATATGACAAAATCATCAAGTGCAAGGCTCAAAGTTTTAGCTAAAAAATGGTGGACAAATGTTTAGAAAACACAAAAGAACAACAACAAAGTAGTACATATAAAATGAGCATAAATGAAGGATGGACCCAAACCCAGGCACTAATGGCATGTGCCAGAGACACTTGATCAAGCTGAATCAGGGCTGGACTAGAAGAAAATGGTGAATAGTTAAATGTACAGGAAAAAGTAAACGGGAGGCACTACAGAGCAGTCTGCAACACCAAAGATGTAGATCTAGAGACAAGCCCAAAAAACATAATTCAGTGTAAAAATCACTGACTAAATATGCTGAAAGTAAAAATAAACATAACTGTGATACAATAAAACACCAGGCAGTTTAAACTCAGAACAGGAAGAAGAAGGTGCCAGCACCCTTAGCAGAGTAGTCGCACAGACAGCAGAAAGATACATGGAAAATTATAAGGACAGAAATCTCCACAGACCTTTGACAGGTATCTCCATAGGGAAGATGACTGGGGAGGGAGGGGGCTGTAACCAGGGGTAGAGGAAAGGCTTCAGACTGGATAGAGAGCAGCAGTGGGTGGAGACAAAGTGTGAATCAATGTGGGAGCCAGAGTGAGGAGGACAAAGCAGGGAATGTCTGCAAAAAAGTATTGATATAAATCCCCACTCCAAGCTTTGTTTCAAGCACACTTTCCTATAAAAAATGCCCTTGAGAAAGTCATCCTATGATGAAATGTGTTTGGTTGGAGTCAGGCAGTATTTGTCAGCCTGATCAGATCCTGTTGTGGGGGAGAGAGAGAGGAGCAGTCTTGTACTATAGAGAATTGGGTAATTTAGTTCAAGAAAATGACATGCAACCAGTTGTGTGGTGGATCCTGAAGAAAAGGCCGGTCGTATAGCTGATCTGCACCGGCAGTGGAGAAGATAGATCAATTTTCAGAGGTGCATGCAAGTCTTTGTTCAATCAAAATATGTTTGCCAGATTGAGAGTGTAAAAAATACTGTTCAACAAGCATATGTTCACATGTACTATATTCTGGACATTGGTAACAATTTCACAGGACAACGAGGACAAGGAAACCAGAGCAGATGGCAGTTCAATTCGGACCAACAGCTCCAAAAGATTTCTCTCCTGCAATAGCTGAAATAGCTGAAAATTGGGGGATATTACTGAGCTACCAATGAGTTATCATCACTAAAAGCGAGAGACCAATGGGCAGTGACTGCCGTTGTTATGGATTGCAAAGCTCTACTGTTCTTGTGGAACCCTTGCCCACGGAGTTGCCTCCACTTAATGGCAGAATCCTCACAGTGGTCCATCATGGTATGGAACTTATTAGAAACTGTAACACTAGGACACTTTTAATGCACCTACTCCCTGGGACAGCAGTGCTCTAACTGTCCCATATCATGAATTGCCTTTATAGTGGGGTACACAGAGCTCTGAGAGTTTTTCATGAGTGTTGCTATGTGACAAGATGGAATATGAGTTAGTGGTCAGAAGGAGCAAACTGAAAGTGAGAAGAGCAAATACTACCACTACTACAATTGACCTCCAAGGAACTTATACCCACGCAGTTAGAAGCAGAGTGAGAGCCAAATTGAGGAAGACAAAGAACTATTGAATAAACGGTCATTGCTGTTCTCACAGGGGGACCATGACCTGGGCTGGTTCAAATTGACCGAAATATGATACCCACAGGAGAGACAGCCGTCTTATCCAGGAGACACATCAAAGCATACCTAACTTGTACACACCTCTACAATGGTGGCCAAGCAGACGCTAGAACAGATGGTATAACATGAGGTGATTAAAGAGAGTAAAGTAGCCCATAGATGATTCTGCTTTTTTCGTTCTACCAGTGGGTGGAATGAAAAAACAACTGATTCCATTCCCCCATCCATGCATTCAATGTGGAAGGGGGAATCACTCCCACTGAGCTGTTGTGTTCTGACAGCAAGGAGACTAAACTGATTGAACAGCATTTATCCAACAGGCTGGTTGCACAGAAGTCAATCAGTAGATCAACTTCTGTACAACCACTGTTCCCATACATGGATGGAAATTTGTCTGGTCCC